AGAGCAGAGAAAACGAAAGACACCGGATCTGGATTCAGGCCCAGCTATTGAAGGCCCTAGCCAGTTACAGGATCTGAATTCCTCACCCATAATACGAGAATCGGACCGAAAACGTGTCACTCAGATCAACTTTGGCAGACTAGAGGAATTGGAGAGCCTGGAACGACCGCGCGAAATTTTGTCTCCCGGACTTGATCGGAATGGAGTTCGCGAATGGGGAGAACTCATTGCACTAGAAGATGAGAATGCTCACGAGGTGCAGGAAGAGTTAAGAGGCGATGGGCAAGTTCTATACGAGCCGCTCCCTGGCGAGGGCAATCGTGTAGGAGTGGAGAACATCGAACGGAATATCGACGACCGACTACGGGAGCAGGAAAACGAAAAAAAGACCGCGAGAGCGCGGAAGAAGGCAGCGATGAAAGAGGTCGAGAGGCGGAGACAAGAGAGAGGACGGCAACTCAAGAATGAGAAACCCGAGTTGGTGTCGGAGCAAAAGATGACCAGAGAGCGAACAAGGGATCAACAAGAGAGGCAAGTAAAAGAAGACGAAGGCATGCGCCGAAAACGGACCACACAGATCGACTTTGGGAGGCTCGGAGACGCTGTTCATGGGCAACCCAAACCTAAAGAGAGCGCCAGTCGGCGCCCAATCACAGAAAACGAAACCGGGGGGGGACCAGCCGAAGTTGTCGTGCTTGATTCTGATGTCATCGCGACGACCAGTCTACAGCCAGCAGATCCTCCGAAATTGACCATGGAAAGACCCGGCCCTCAGAAGATTCGAATCCATCTCAAGATCTCCGACGGGAGGCTTGGTGGTGAGGACTGGAAAAGTCTATCCTCACACGACGTTGACCCCTCCGAGCCGGCAGACTTCATGCGATTCTTGAGGAAATACACCAGAAAGGACACAGAAAATCCGTGGAATGTGTTCGCCGGGTCCCATATGATAACCCCATTGACGAAGTTTGAAGACATCATCAAAGATGGAAACAGCACCTTATACATAACTCGAGAAGGGATTATCGACACTCATCTTCATCCAAATTCTCCTGCCGGCAAAAGAATTCGATCTTGAGTGTATAGAAAAGCTATTCTAACATGAGTCCCTAGCTCATCTTTCTTTTTCGACCCGTCCCCCACCAAATGAACCTGGTCAATGCCTGGGATGATAGTTCTGTTTATTGGATATCTTCGATGAAGAAGATTGCGAAGAATAGTTTGACCGACGAGGTAGGGACAGGCGACTGGCAAGTAACGGACGGGGCCGCCGACGTATAGGCATGATCCCTACTGGAAGTAGTCAACCGTCTAGTCACCGGGCTGATATTCTAGTTCCTCCAGCCTGACTTTCTTGTCTGCCAAGGGACGGACTAGACGTCGCAACCGATCTCGAAGGTCGTTGCTTCCAGACACTGGATTGATCAGTAGGGACCCCGAAGTGGGTCAAGTGAGCTTACCCATCACCAGCATCTCTCCCCTCTCGCCTGATTCCTCCTGTACCCGTTTGATGTGTTTCCCTGCCGCCTCTTCTTGGAAAATCGCTTCCACATCAGCCAGGCCACTGTACGCGATCGCGCGTCTCCCAAATGGCACTCGATGCTGGCTTGCCCAGCGGATGTAGATCGAAATACTGAGAATCTATGCGCCAAGTCAAACCGACGCTTCATGATATAGTTTCGTGTGACTTACCTTCCCCTTGGCCGACTTTTCGTGGCTCATATCGCCGGTGCCGTTATCGACACTAAGTGTGTCACCGACGAGCGCATCATTCAACAAGTCTGCGGCGGCATATCCCAAATCTACTGCAGTTGAGCGTTGTCCTGTGTGGAAAGACGGGCAATCCGATGGTATGCGTACCTTTTGTCTCCAGCTGCCACACCAAATGGATTCGACGAGTGCGAATCTTGCAGGCATTATATCCATGAATGAGCTGCTTCAGGTAAGAAAGGTGCGAGACGACACCAAAGCCATCCGCCATCATTAAGACCGTCTCATAAGTTCCAGCTGGGACAGTAGTACCGTGAGGTCCACTGAACAAAGCTCGATATAAAGTGCCGCCCTCGCGGCTAGAGTCCGAATATCGCAAAAGCTTTCTGGTCAGGCCGTCACGTGGTTCCACGAAAATGTCCAAGGATTCTAGACTTTCATCCGACCAGGATGTTATCATGAAAGGGTGGCTCTGCAGGAGGCCAAACCAGGGAATCCATAAGCAGATGTATTGCCCCGGCTTCACCTGGACTGGCGAGGTGAGGCGTACTTGAAGCGTCATCACTTCCTGCTGTATGGTGACATGCTCTCTGTTCAGCATTTCTTTGATATTGGTGATCTTGACTCTGGCGAACCCGTTCCCGACCACTCCGGTTTGGTACACGATGAGTCCGCATTGGACGAGAACGGTCAGCAGGAATGTACCAATGGTAACGTAAATGTACTTTTGTGGAAGAGAATGGCTCTTCTTCAAGTGGCTCCATATGCTGTAGGTTGCCGTGACAGCCAAGGTCTGATGCTGGCGAAGGAAGAACTCGTAGAAAGGACGGCGAAGTAATGGGAGTGAGAGTGGCACAAGGAACCCCCACGATATTGCCCCCTGATCTTTGTCAATTCTGCTGACCGGGTGGAGAAAAACTTTAGATGGCATACAATCAGTCCAAAGAGGTTTTCTGAGATCCTCATGGGAAATGGTTTCTTCTCCACGAGCACGGTGAGAACGTGGAAGACCAACAGCATCGACGACATCAGCCCGAAGGAGCGATGAATCCGCCGGTACGTGCGTAAGGTGATGCCTAAGAGATCCGCTGGAAAACTAAGATGAGGGCCCGCCAAGAGAGGGATCAGGTTGATGATCGAGAGATTCGCCGCTCGCAGGCCGGCCATCGAGACCGAGCGCACTTTGAAGCAGACACAAAAGACGTTGACGCCGCTGTAGAGAAGCCCTGCAAGGACACCGGCCGGATGCCACGCACCAGTCAACCGGTGACGAAGTTGTGGATACACGAAATATTTGAGCGAGAGTGGAGCGACCTTCTTCCAACCGAGCACAAACCACTGGCGAAAGTTCATGAGAATGAGGAGAAACAACAAGCCGCCCAAACCGATCGCGTAGGCTTGAGTAATATCCATAGTTATTGAACGTTAGAAACGATAGAAATGGAATGACAACAACGCACGAATGGAAAGGTAGTTTCACGGGCGTTAAGAAGCTTATTGAACAGGGAAAGAGAGTGAAGTTGAAATATAATGAACTATAGCATAGTATTGAGACACCAAACCCTCAGAGGGAGCCGAGAATGGAACAAGACTCCAAGCAGTTGCGGCCAACTTTGGAATAAAGCAATTGGAGCCAGAATGGGATCCTCTACCCGACCAAATCCATCCTCCTCTAACTTGGCGGCAACCTGTAGCCCCTGAACGGAGCAATCGAAGTCACATCTGCCAGCCCTTGGAGATTTCTCGTTCCCCAGGGCCTGCTGAATAACGGATTCTAGCCAGGTCAGGATCAAGCTGAGGAGGAAATCTGAGGTCCGTCACTTGCCTTTAACAGCCTCTCTGCCGAAGTTGCAGATGTCGTCTCAGAAAGGAATTCGACCGCCAGAGAATCGGAGGGCCACCGGCGTAGGTCATCTACTCCGACAGCACCATCAGCTTTGGCATACTTTTGCATCAGCTCCATTGTGATGAAGCTTAGAGCCTTAAGATCTCTCGATCCAGGATTGTTCAGGGGACATGGTCGACAGAGTTCCTGATGTGCTGTGATCTGAACATCAGCTTGACGTAGAAGTTTATGGAGTGATTACGTGCCTATCTTCACCTCGCCAGCGACATTGATGAGAATACTCGAGGTGGTCAGAGAGCCGTGTTCTAGTCCTTTTTTCGCGAGGTACACAAGCCCGTTGAGGATCTGTCACAGTTAGTCGGTCCACTCAAAAGAGGTGAAATTCAAAACCCCCCTGTCCTAAAATGGACGCCAGTTGATCCTCGTCGAGATGTTTCGGAAACCCAGTGAACAGGCTCAGAGACATCGGCATGTGCTCGAAGACAACGTAGAATAACTCGTCATGGAGAAAGATGTCTCTCACGGACACGATATTCTCATGTTCAACCTGCTGCAACATACGACATTTTTCTTCACCGTCATGTATAGAGAAGCTCCTCACAGCGACGACGTACGGCGTCGGACCCTCCTTTTGAGGAGGGACAATAAAGTCGGCGGACCACGGATGTCTAACATCGGCCACATCCACCATGTCGTCGTCTTCCTCGCCAAGCCGTATGCAATGGCATTTTCTGTACTTTTCCCACGGGGATTGGTGCTTCACGATCAAGGTATTCTCCGTCCCATGTCCGAGTGCTGCTGGGGGGTTCAGGGGCTTCGAACCAGTTGCTGAGGTGGTACGATAGGTTCCGGACGAGAGTGCCCTCGGGAATCCTGCTGCCGGATTAAATCCAGTCCCGCGGCGACTGGGAGTTTCACCATCCGTGAGGTGATCATCCTGGCGGGCCACGCTCTGAGAAGCCCCCCTAAACCCTCTGATTGCATTAAAGTCGATGCGTGTCCGGCGATTTAAAGATTGAGATGACATCTTGACAACATGAATGGCTAAAGAGAAGACCAGAGCAAACGTTACAATCTCTTAAGTAAGGTATGTGAGGTTTGAGCAAAATTGAGGCAGGGGTGGTGGTCAGTCCCAAGAGACGGGAGACGACGTTCGATCTGGACTACGAAGCAGATGAGGAACGAAGCGGCCAGAGCCGGCATGTGCAGCAATCGCACGCCTTCCTCCCCAGGCCCATTTTGGTCCTCGGGGCCCAATTCAGTCTTGATGCTGCGCTCAACGGAATGAGGCCCGTTCTGGATCCGAATGGTGAATAGCGTTGTCACTCAAGAGTACTGCAGAGCTCGATGGGGAGGTACGTAGCTTCATTAAATGATATCCGCAGCCCACCGGTGGGAAAATATCCATCGTCCCACAGGTTGAATTATTCATACTTACACCACCATGCTCAAAGAAAAGCTTTGGCTCAAAGTAGGTGTGTCGCTCGCATTCGCGGCTGCATTAATCTGCTGCACGGTTTTGAGCTTTGAAGTGCTTTGCAATAAGGACGACATGAAGGCTGGTATCATTACCTTCACTGTGAGGGCCTTTCACTGTTCAATGTGTTAGGTGAGGTAGATCGCTGATATCTTCTTCCACAGTTTAGGGCGCCCCCCACACAGGTACCGCTCCGTGCAAGGGGCCTGATCCCAACGGCCGTGACCCAAGCTGGGAGCGTCGTAAGCAATGTGGCAACAGCAGCCTCCGGGGCTCCCAGCCAAGCAAACAGCATCGCAAGCGCCGCCGCGACAGCCGTCAATGGCGCCATCACGGCGATCCCCCGGAATCTCTCCATCGGCACAAAACAATACTGCGTGGGGTTCAGCGACCATGTCGAATGTCATCAATTGCCCGTGAACATATCTAGGATCGTACCCCAGGTTGTTGCAAATATTCTGAGCGACGAAATGGAAGATTTGGATCACCTGCGCAGCATCTTCGCAACAGCTACCCCTGGATGGATCGGGGATCCTTTCATTATCGGCATAGCGACGGCCCTGGTGATCGCTGTCGTCTTTTTCACCTCTATGTTCAGCTGGCCCTTCCGCGCTGGTACTCTGTTGCAGGATCTGATGTTACCATTAATGCCCAGATTGGTTATTGGGCTCTTTTGTTGCATCTCTTACCTCCTCCCAACAATTGTTCTTTACCTTCTCTACTCCAAGTCGAAGGACCTCTCTTCCGAGATCAGGGCTGATCAGGGCCCGGTCGGCGGCTACTGCTGGGGCACTCTCTTTTCGGCTCTCATAATGACGGGAATGACAACGTTTGTTCACATCTTGGTCTGATAACACCCGATGAAAGGTCGTTAACTTTCACGGTGGCTCGGTCAAATACACAGGTTATCATTTCGACGCCATACCATACACTGAGAGTGAGGAACTTGGACAGTAAAATTGGGTGGTAAGGGCGTATGATTGGATGAGAGCCCACAAGATCACGTCCCTGAGCTTTACCGTGCCTGTGACCTGCTTGGCAAAATCAGGGGGCTGGATAGTTGTCCCCTCGGAACAATCTGAAGCGCACCCAGCATTCGGAGGAGCGGGTTTGATTTGCTTGAGGGCTCGGATATGGAGTGATGGTTCAATCGAGCAGTGCTCGAGTTTAAGGGCCCAACATTGCCCGCTCATGATCGATAGTCACTTTCGAAGTCACTCTCTTCTACCTCACTTAGGCCCTCGTCCTGTTCAATTGCTCATGTATCTGCCGTATCCGTGACAGTCGCTTGAACTCCTTTTCCAGACGAGCATACCGTTTCTCGCGGTTGATTCGATCACCATGACTCCTCGCTTGCTTCATGGCAGGTCTTGCGCCAGCAGAGGATGCTTCCACGCTATGGTGATGATTCCGCATTTCAACCTGTCCTTCTGCCATTGGGTTAACACGTATGGAAGCTGCCGATGAAGTAGTCTGTGGCCCCGGTACGATGGCCTCCTTGGAAGGGAGGCGAGTTAGAGACGCACGAACGGGCTTTCGGGGTGTCAACTGCCGGTTGCTTGAGATGACAGAGTGTAATTCTGCAAGGGATTCTCTTGTGCATTTAACTGCTGTGGCTGTGTTTGTTGGCTCGGGCGAGGACTGGCTGACTGAATGTGAAGCTGTAGGACCAATGCCATCTTCGGACAATCCCGTCTGCTGGGTGATCGAGCCGTGGCGATTTTGGATCTCTTCGTTCGGTGGCTGGCCTGGCGGGGTTTGATACAGTTCTGCTTCTTCACAAGCTTTGTCCCCATCTTCTCTTGCTTTTTCGTCCTCTAGGCCACTCAGGAAAAGTATCCTCTGCAACAGCCTTTCAAATTCCTGGCCATTTTAGCATGAGGTATGATGTCACTTGGGGAAGACTTACCATGTTTTTGCTCACTGGTTGCCATGGTCCGTGACCAGAGGATCTGTATGTATAGGCCTCTCTAGCCTTTGGATTGATCATGTGGCGGGCCACGGAATAGATCCATATTGTGTGCAACTCATGGCCTTTGTTAATGGCGCCCAACTTTCCTTTTTCGCGGTACCTCATCTTACGATCTCTTTCGTTGGCCTTTTCTCAAGTGCAGTGTCGTCTGGCATGTGAGATGTGGCGTCTTTCTGATCATCCGAAGTCTCCATGGCAGGGCCAGTGAGCAGGATATTTAAGTACCCAGAAAGAAACTCGCGTTTGCAGCCCCAGTGACCACCACTGTGCGATTTCCCAATAAAGAATGGCAGCGCAGCTAACTAGTTGGTTCTAAATATAAGGCAACAACGGTCGCCCCAAGTTGATACGAAAGGGGATGGCTTCCATAGTGGGTCCCCTTCCACAACCTGCTGTTAATAGAGTCAATTTTTAGTTTTCATACCTGACTTACTGAGCCATTGCTTTGCCGCGCGCTTCTACGTTTCAGGAAGCGTCTCAGAAAATGTGCGCCTTGATATTCCCGACGGTGATTAGTGGAAAGCGGATGGATCCACCAGTCTGATTCGTACAGCAATGGGCTGGAGTTTGTCAGGCATTCCAAGATGGCGAAAATCTATACAGTACTTTTGGGTGGAATTGAGCTTCTTGTGAGCATTCTCATCCTCGCCCTCAACCTCAACCATTCAACGCTGACCTGAGTGGGTATCCTGAAGATACTATTACTATTTTCGCAGCAAGATTGAGACCCAGTGGGCACCTGGGCCAGGGAAACGCATTCAAGGGTGGATAACATCTCATCCCGCATGTTGCACAGCGCCGAAAACTGACAAGATACTAGAGTTCAGCCGCTCCAGAAGGTGGCATCAGCACCTGTACAAAATATACCGAACTCGGGAAGACTTGCATCACGAACGAAGCAAGCCACCCGAATCATAGAAATGATCCACTGGATTGCTCTCACCCGGGGCCAGACGAGGGTTCATATTGATTAGAAAATTACCGGACATTCTTGACTGTCTACTGTATTTATCAATGATAGTCCAACACAATTGTTCAACACAAAGCTAAGAGAGTGACAACGCAACCGGGCCTGCTAAGGTTGCGAGGGCCAGGTCATAGTCATTATCAGGCAATTGACTTGTTACCGCTGCAAACACCGCCCCATTGAGTCCTTGCGGTACATCCGCAACTCCCCTGCCTTGACCAACGATCGATAATACCGTATACACCGGCACATTCAGCTGATTGGTCCAGCCAACAAACAACTGTTTTCCCTGCTCGAAAACGAATGGCATCTGCATTGGATCCCAGGAGAATGCCATTTCTGACGGAACCACGGTGGTGTTCGCAGCGGTAGCGGGGCCCGTGGTGGTATTTTGATAAGGTGCGATGCTCGACGCTATTCCCGTGGCCGCTGAAGATCTGTTGTCAGCCGTAGTCGGGGCTGACACCGTTAATGTGGGCAGAATGGGTACTGGGAGTTCCGTTGGACACGATCCAGGCACGATAAATGGAAGAGCCAAATTGTACGCCCAGATACTGCTAATCCCGGTGTCAAATGGAGCTGGGTTAGGGACTCTGCCGCCCACGTGGCGGAAGAAGGCGTCATGGCGGGACTCGACTGTCACGATCGACGACACCGTATTGACAATCCCAGGATCAGTGTACGAGACTCGATCGGCCAGCCCGATAAGTGCGCTGATGCCCACTGAGGTGATGATGTCGCCAAGGGCGATGAACTCATCAATGGACGCCACCGGGAAGGAATACTGGCAAGGAGCAATTACAGGGGCTCCGTAGCCGTTGAGCAGATTCGCAATTGTTGCAACGTGTACTTCCTCCTGCTATAGAAGGCACAAATATTAGACTGACACAGAACCTGGATGGTCAACTTACCGCCGCGATTGTGCTGAGAACTTCGGTCGTGTCATTTAGGTAGCCCGCCGTTCCCCAGGTAGAAATATTTTGAAGTCCGCTTTGAAGATAGGAT